CCCCCCCCCCCCCCCCCCCTCCTTTCGCGCGCTCGCCACCCCCCGTCGCGTTCTGGCGCCCTCACCCTTACCGTGCCCGTTTTTTGCGCAACCGTTGCACCGTGGTTGCTCGATAATCGATGGGTCAATCAACTCGGCACTTGCACGACAAACATGACAAACATAAATCACGTGGGCCGACGACAGGGGACTTGGTGGTGGTGGAGGGTTGCGGCGCCTACGTGGCCGGCATGAGCGCCAAGAACTACAACTCCTTCCCGGAGGTGCCAGAGGTACAATACGAATGGAATTGACTTGAGCTTTGGCTCTTGCTCTGGCTTTGGCTTTGGCTCTGGCTTTGGCTCTGGCTTTGGCTATGGCTATGGCTATGGCATGGCGTCCTTTGCTGAGAAAATCGAAAACCCTGATGCATTAATTGGGTGTCAGGGGTCGACCTTGCGCGTTTTTCAGAGAATTATTGTCGAAAGCCCTGATGTATGTCTGCGCAGGAAGAGGGCATTGACGATGTAGCATTGCATGGCCGCGTTTCTAAAGACTGCCGAAAACCCTGGAGAAATGGTGCTTCCACACGACTTGCTTCAATGAAACAAGATGAAAACATGGTTAGACCGTTTTGGCTGGCCGCGCTTCTGCGCGAGGATGAACGCAGTGCGTGCTCTGGTTTGTTAGTGTGGTAATGCGTGAGTTAGCACCGCCCCCCATTTCCCACCAACGCACCTCTCCATCGACCATTTCCCAGAGTTGTGTTTGCCCTCTCCCAACCACGTCTTGTGTCTCTCGTTTCGCTACACTCTTCGACCCCCGGGCCTCCCCGTTCGCTTTTTGTTGGGGGTGCTTGGCGGAGTGCTGATCTACAGGGGTTACTATGGGTATGACGGACATAATGCGCCCTCCCCTCCCATGTCTGCGAATCACAAATCACACAAAGGTCTTGAGTCAACCTTCTTTCCCTATCGGCCTCTCACGAAGCTGCGGCACACAAACACCTTTGTCCCCCTCGACCCGACCTGCCGGGCAGGTGCTCCTTGACTCCGCGGGGGAGCTGCACGTCGTTCGGCGGCGACAGACCTTGGAGCAGATATTCGAGAACGAGATGCCGTTGCCGACAGGCATATAATCTAACCAACAGTCTCTTCAAGCGAGAAGCCGGCCTTTCCTGTCATCGTCGAAAGGGTTCGGGTCGGGCGCTTTGTTGTAGCGGTTCGACGGCCGTGTGTGTCCCCCGCAGGCTTCTTGCAGGAGAGCAACAGAAATGACAGCGAGGAGGGACATCAATGACAGAGGAAGGCGTGTTGTTTTTCAGAGTGGTGTGTTGACGCGTCGTGATTTTTGCACCAAGGGTGTCGGGGCGTGCTGTCGACGTCATCATGCTGCATTGACGGTGCAGTCGCGAGTCTAGCCACCAAGGCGTGATTTGCTGGAGACGCAAACTACACTTGGGTCCACTACGCGTGTTCCCTCCCGACGAACACCGGGTTTTTGGGAGGCGATCTGTTGGTCGTCGGCACCTCAGCTCGTTAGGAATGTAGCGGGCTGTGCCCATACCGAGTTGGCGCCACGGCAGGCGCTTGAAGAAGTAGATGCGTTCGGCGAACGGCTTCTTCGGACCCGCGTTCGATCCGACTCAGCTGCCGTCACCACGCTCAACTGGTCGGTCCCTCGATCTTTTCAACGTGATGGCCTTCCTTCGATCCCCCCTTTGTTTCCTCTTGAATGGCTCGAGGGGGGGGCGTGGCAACTGCCACGAACCACCGCAGTGCTTTTGTCGAACTGTACGCATCGGCGTACTACAGTATAGGTGCAGACTGATCAAGCCCTACCTTTGAGAAGACGACACATGCACGCTCATGATTACTCTGCAGATCTATGTACTTCAAGAAGCATATTTTTTTCGTTCTTTTCTGTCTCCAGTTCGAATCAGTGCTCGCAGCATTTTGTGCCGATTGCTCAACCCCGCGTTCACATGTTGTGTATTCTGATATATTGTTCGAAGGTCCATCCTTTTGACACTTTTTGTTGCATTTTTTCAACTCTTCAAAGATGAATCCTCCGCCACATCCTCCTTGGTTTTGCCCATTTTTCAGACATCTCGAACCACTCCGAAGTTGCAATTTGGGAAGAAATGAGTTTAGTTTGAAACGACCCTGTTAAGCGGGTGCAGATCGAGGGACACTTGCTGGATGGAAGCTGAATTCGTTGAAACTTGTCAGCTTTTCTGAAGCTTTAGCTTCAGCTTCTCAGACCAATGCAAATCTCGCGGAGTCTCGAGCATGGTTCGATGGGGAATCGCAGATCATCACCCCTCCCCGAGCTCGAGGAGCTTCCGCATCCTGTGGCCGACAAGTCGGCCTTGTCTGCGCCTCACCCCGAACGGGGCGGTTGAACAGAGGGTCTGTCCGGGTGCATTACACTTGTTTTTTTTTTAGCGAGTGAGCGGGGCTTTCCACCTTTGCCACCTTGACGGTTCGTATCCCTCCGGTTGCTGTTTTCATGCACCACAGCGGGCATCTCGGAGGTATACGGTCTCCCTGTTTGTTATTGTTGGACACCCGCACGGACAGCAACAATCAATCATCGTTGCTCTCGTTCATTAGCACGTATGTTCGGGATGTCTACATCGCATAGATCTAGTCTAGACAATATGGCAACCTTTTTTGTGGGTCTTCCATGCGCGTGGTCGGTCTACGGTCTATCTACTTGTATCCGAATTGATCAATTAGCAGTGAGTGTTTTCGGACCGCATGTGAAGCAGGGTTTCCGGACCGCATGTCAACTGCCGCGATCGCTGCCCCTGGTCTTGCTGCAGTACATGGTTCGGTGGTGTGGTGTGCATCTACGCGGCTACACAGATCTACGTCGAACGTTGACAAGTTGACAAGTTGTGCACCTGCCCGTCCCCCTTTACGTTGACAAGTTGACTGTTCCCGGTCCCTCCGTCCATGTTCATAATGTTGTCGGTGTGTGCCGTAACTGCGAGAGATCCGCAAGACACTAACTGAGGACGCTTTCTATGTCGTCACACAGAGTACAAAGTTAGTTGGGCCACCTCTACCGCGGAGGAAGTGCGCACTACATACATGTATAGGCCTTCGCCCATAACTCTCGTTTGTCCTGTCTCCTCCCATTTCCGGCTCTTGGAATAATTTTGTTTGGAAGGGTCCGCGAAGCGCAGCAGACTATTTTTGCGATTGCCGCCCTCGCCGCCGCCGATTTTTCGCGAGTACATGAGATGGCCTCGAGGAACATTGCTCGCCAACACAAGGAGTTCACGGCGAGCGAAGAACGTCCTCTTATGTGTGTGTTTGTACATATATATATGCGGCATAGGATTCGCGAACTCTCTCCCTTCCAAGTATTACATTCTGTCTACTGCTGACGCTGCTTTCGTCCTTCTTGACAGTTTGTTGGGGTCCTATGGGGCCCCCCGTCCACCACAAAAAATCCATTTTCACTTGTGTTGAACGGGTATAAATCCGGTCGCCCCGGTGGTCTAGTTGGTAGCCTCGAAACCTTCTAGAGGTCAGGTCAGGGGTCCGAATCCCGGCGCAAGCGAGCTTTTCTTGCAAAAGTGAGTTATTCTCTCGCTTCCGCTCCTGGCCTACAGATAGCGCCCGAACTTAAAAACTTTTGCATAGCAGTTAAGAAATTGAGACTCGCAAAAAATCAGAAGCTAAGAACTTGAGCACCATTTGTGAGCTCGGTTACGAACCCCACACTAAAACCTATATAGCGATCATTTGTAGCCCACAAGAGGACGATCAGCAAAATAAGAACCCCAGCCTCGGCCGAAACTAGAGGTTCTTAAGTGCGGGCGGCATTGGTAGTGGATAGCGCTAGTTCGTGCGGTACACAGAGGGAAGGGAGTGCTGAACTCTTCTCGCATAATCGAAGGCAAAGTACCGCAGGAGGGGAGGGCAGAGAGGGGCTCTTCTGTGTGACCACGGGTGGGAGTAAACGGCACCAGTGCTGTGAGCGATGATTTGAAGTGAACACCAAGACTATCCTTCTTTGCACCGGTGGCAGCCCCCACGAGGCAAGTCGCCGCCCGCCTTTCACAAAAAATATTTACAACACCTCTCCTAGACTACAGCAGTAGCTCAAACGTCGATGAACGTGAGAACCAGTCCAGTCAACTGCCCAAGTTTACCGCAGACGACGCTTTGTTTGTTTGGTTGCTTTGGCGGGGGGTGTTTCCTTGCCACATCCGGTCATCACCTGGTCCGGCCCACAGGCAGGTGTTTTTCTCCCTCCATGCACTTGTTCACAACAACAAGAACAACAGTACAGTAGTAGTTCTGTTCCATGTTCAGACGGGAGGAAACAAACGCAGAGTATACGCCCTCCTCTGCCTCTCTCCCCTCCCGTCAATCTCTCTCCTGTCCCGCTCATTTTTGGAGGGGAGGAAAGAAAGCTAGACTGGGGTCCGCTCGCATGCAAACAATGAGAAGAGCGCGTTCTGGGTGATCTCGTCTAGTCTGGGAGTATTTGGCTGTATTCGTGACCAGATGTTGTCTGTACGGATTTCCTCGCCAGCAGAGAAGTAGTCTAGTGCATATACATAGGGGCGTGGGGAGAATGGTATTTTTTGTCCACTCGGTGCCGGTCGTGGACTGTTCTTTTTCGGGCGGAACCTGAGTAACTCCTTTGCGCACAAACGTTCTCTACACGAGCCCGCAAGCGTGATAGTGAAGTACACGGGCCGACACCCAGCCACGATATCGGTTCGACGAGACCCCGACCGCGTGACCGCAGGCGTCACCTTGTACCGCTGCTGATGGATCGCCGTCTGCCGTGTTGGCTCGTGTCGTGCGGTTGCCCAGTCCACCTTCCGTCGCCACCGTCACGGTAACCCCTCCTATCGTCGCCGCTCCTGTCGTCGCCGCTCCTATCAACAGTGGTGCCGCTGCTCCGTTCGTGAGGGCGTGCGTCCCGGCCTTACGCCGCCGCAGGGAACACATGACTGCCAGTGGTCCCCCCTCTTGCCACTGGTGTTGCTGCCGATGCTGCCGCTCCCGCGACGGGTTCCTGCTGCCCGGCCGTCTCCCCCGCCGCCGCCGCGGGGAAAACCCTGCCGCCGGGGGTCACCACTGTCGCCGCCGGTGCTGGTACGGACGGTACCGTTCTAGCCGAGAGTGCCTGCACCCCGGCCGTACCTACGGCCGGCGTCGCGGAGAACGCATGACTGCCGGTGGTCCCTCCCTCCCCGCCGGTGCTGCTTCCGATGCTGCAGCTCCCGCCATGAGCGCCTGCGGCCCGGTCGTCTCCCCCGCCGCCGCGGGGAAAACCCTGCCGCCGGGGGTCACCCCCTTCGCCGCCGGTGCTGCTACCGATGTTACCGCTCTACCGCCAGTGTCTGCACCCCGGCCGTCCCGACGGCCGGCGTCGCGGGGAACACATGACTGCCGGTAGTCGCTCCTCTCGCCGCCGATGCTGCTGCCGATACTGCCGCTCCCGCCACGAGTGCCTGCGGCCCGGTCGTTTCCCCTCGGCGTCTCCCCGCACCGCCGCGGGGAAAACCCTGCGCCGGGAGTCACCACTCTCTTCCCTGAAACTGCTGCCGATGGTGCCGCTCCCTCCGCAAGTCCGTCTCCCCCTGTCAGCTCATCGGGGAGAACTACTTGAGGCGTTTTTGCGTGCGGTTTTTTCGCGGGTACTTCTTTTTTGTAGTATCCTGTCATCGCAAGTTTTCTTCGGATCTAGTGCTTTAGCCTTGTCATCGTCGGCATCATAGGTGTTTCAGGGTCTTCATCGCGGTCTGGACGCCTTCATTCTTCAGTAACTTTGTTTTGCTGTGTCTCGTGCTCGAGCAGTTGCGGCTTCCCGTAAAAACATCTAGGAATGGTTTAGACAGGCAAAGCCGACGAAACTCGTCGACGAGTTGCACATCAATACTTCTTTGAAACACCCAAATGTGGCGAAGCACACCATCGACAGTCGACACTAGAGATAGATACCTACAGAGCAAACACCTGTAGGCATATTGCCTTTCATGTCAAGAATTGCGTGCGTTCGATGGGTGCATCAGTCTTGGCTATGTATACCGTAGACAGTACTGTATCCGAACTCTGTTACTGCGGCTCCCGGCTGACTGAGTGATCACACAATCAATCGTTCAATCAATCATCATTCACTTCTTTTTTCCGCGGGTAGGCACCTCTCTTCGAGGAAAAACAAAAGATTTAACGCTTGTACTTGTACATGTATTTGCTTGTTTTCGACTCTTGGATGGTGCCGTAGTGCTATAGTCGCGTTATGTGTGGGGGGGGCTCAAACCGTCGTCGAGAATTTCTCGCATTTTGCAAAACGGCACCTTCCTTGACAAATCAAGTACTTCTACATGTTATCAACCAACACACGTGCTGCACCTCACTGTACGTGCTGCCGCTACATTGCAAACATATATCCTGAACCTACAGTATCTCCTACTTCACACACTTGAAGCTGGCAAGCCCGAAACAAGACGTACCGTTTCGGAGTGAAAATTAGTGACTTCCTCACTGCACTCAAGCTGGGGGTGCCCACAGCCGACACACCCCAACGGTCCGCTGGCGCGAAAGGGATCCAATGGGGTTGCTCGTCTCGGGGGAGACAAGAGCAGAGCTTGTAGTGGTCTCCACCACGAGAACAGTTCATAACAAGTATTGAAAAAGGCGGGACATGCCTCCTGTTTTATTCCCCCGATTCGATCGACCGGTCAAGGCCGTGTACCCCGTGCCTTCCGAAGACCTACCAAGCCTACCGCACCTAGGGGAGAGCCACAGCTTCAA